ACAGAATCACCTCATAAAGATTTCATAAGTCTGGCCTTATTTAGTCTTTTTCTTCATAATTTTTTGCAATTGATCTGAAATGCCCCGTTACATTTGTATTCAAGTTGGGTAGGAAATATCAAAGACGCCAGCTGCCGGGTTAGCTCACTCGGTTAAGGCGCCGCATATGCGGTGCAGTAGTGAATACTACAGTGTGGGTTCGATCCCCGGTCGTACCAACCAGCAGTGGTCGGCAGCTTTTTCAGAACAGCGCACGATTGCTAAAGCAATTTACATCCCTCAGCTAAAGCGCTGTAGGGATGTAAACTGGGAAGGGACTGCTGGGAAGGGATATTAAAAATGATTGCCTTGTTCGTTGCTCAAGCGCCTCCTGTTGGCCAGCCGGGCGCTCGTCAGTGAGATTCTGAGCTTGCTCACGTTCGGGTATCCTCCGCCCTCGTTCTGAACTTGCGATGGTTTCGACCAATGAGTGTAAAGATGCAGGGGCTAGCCCCGGTCGTACCAACCAGCAGTGGTCGGCAGCTTTTTCAGAGTAGCGCACATTTGGCCATTGCGCTACAGGGATGCAAATTGGGAAGGGTCTGCCGGGAAGGGTAATATTAAATGGTCGCTTCATTCGTTGCTTAAAGGGATAGTCCACCCAAAAACTATAATTTGTATATGAATCACTCACCATTAGATGTCTCGAACGGACGAGGTTGTTTTTCACCTGGCGCAACTTTATGGCCACTGGAGAGTTTTTAAAAATTATCCAAATTCCTTTTTTGCTGGTAGGATAATAATAAAATACCACAGTTTTGCTTCAAGTAAGCTTGCGCATTCAACCAAAGTCCCGCCTCCCGGCTCGTTCCCAGAGACTAATAAAGTTTTTGAGAGAAGGGAGAAGACGTGTTCCAAAAACTTTATTAGTCTCTGGGAACGAGCCGGGAGGTGGGACTTCAGTTGAATGCACGAGCTTACTTGAAGCAAAACTGTGGTATTTTATTATTTTTAGCGAAAAATAACCGCGTTTCTAGAGTTCTTAGGATATGAGTGGACAAAGCAGACTTGGATTATACTGGACGATGCCTTGGACGATGGTTTGAAAGTTTGTCAACGGACGATTTGTGGACTTTTTACCGTTGCTACTGGGTGACCCCATTTGCTTCCAGCAAAAAAGGAATTTGGATAATTTTTAAAAACTCTCCAGTAGCCATAAAGTTGCGCCAGGTGAAAAACAACCTCGTCTGTTCGAGACATCTAATGGTGAGTAATTGATATACAAATTATAGTTTTTGGGTGGACTATCCCTTTAAGCGCCTCCTGTTGGCCAGCCTGGCACTCGTCTGGAAGATTCGAAGCTTGTTCATGTTCGGGTATCCAACGCCCTCGTTCTGAACTTGCGAGGATTCAACCAATGAGTGTATAAGAAGCAGTGGCTGACAGGCGTGTGCTTAGGAGGAGAGCAGCGAGCTGTCTTCACTCTCTTGAGTTGGCAACAGGGGGTCGCATATGCGAAAGCCTTGTACATAGTTCCCCAATTGGACATTCCAGATTCGGGTGGGATTGGAGATGCCAAATTTATAGAAAAAAAAAATGCAGGTGCTGACAGATACGTGCTTCGGAGGAGAGCCGCGAACTCTCTCTCTCTCTCCTGTGTTGGCAATAGGGGGTCGCATACGAGCAAGGCTTGTACATAGTTCTCGGATTAGGCAATCCAGATTCGGTTGGGATTGGAGATGCCAAAAAAAAAAAAAAAAAAAAAAAGATGCCTTAAAATTTATCCAGAAATAATGAAAAAATATATATATACATGGATGATACTGCATATTAGTATGAATACTAATATCCACTGTACCAACCTTGGCTCATTTACAGAGGCTCTCAGAGAAGCAGAGCTGTTCTCTGATCAGTTCTGCCTTTTGGTTCAAAATGGATAGTTAGAATATGGACAAAGGAAACCTGATCCTGGATCAGCTCTTCCACTCTGCAACATTTAATAAACGCAGGCCCTGGGCGCTATCTTCATTAGTCAAAGCCTATTACAAGGCTTTCCTTTTCCCCTGATTATAGCGCAAGAGTGCTCAGTGTCCATATGGCATGACCCAATTTCCGTTTGCGATCTGAGGCTTCTGGGCTGTAATGCTAATGGAATTCATACCCTCTGCTTAACATTTCACTTTTTTAATGTACAGCAGTTTGCAAATGTCTTAGGCACCCTAGATTTTTAAAATTTTGGTCATCGATGTTAATTTTCTGTTTTTCTCATTAATGTTTCTGTAGATTAAAAGCACATTTGAGACAACAAATGCTGATAATAAGGTTTGAAAAAAATGTTTGTATTTTGCCAAAGACAGTTGACAAAGGAAATATACCCTTGACAGAGCCCTGATGTATTCATCATCACAGCTGTCTGGGATTATTACCTGAACAGTCAGACACCAGTGAGACCGAGAGTCCGCAGAAGGACTGAGGCAGTTCTCCTACAGGTTTGGAGCGAACAGCCAATTACCCTAAGAAACTAGAAAACTACAGGACAGTGTTCCTAATTTTTAGGCAAAGGGTAATCACAGCAAATACTGATTTGAATTAATTTTTACCTGTTCACAGATCTTTACTGAATATTTTTCGATATTCAGAAACCTTTCCTTTAAGGATTTTTGGAAACATCTTTGCCTAACAGAATTGTTTTAAATGTGCTTAGAACTTACGCACAGTACTGTATACAGTCGTATGCAAAAGTTTGGGCACCCCAGATCAAAATTTCTGTTACTGTGAATAGCTAAGTGAGTAACAGATGACTGCTCTCCAAAAGGCATAAAGTTAAAGTTAAACATTTCCTTTATATTTTAAGCAAGATTACTTTCTAATTTCCATCCTTTAACAGTTTCAAAATGGCAAAAAAGGAAAACGGTCCGAAGCGAAAGTTTGGGCACCCTGCATGGTCATTGCTAAGTAACACTCCCTTTGGCATTTATCACAGCTTGTAAACACTTTTTGGTGCCAGCTAAGAGTTTTTGAATTCTGGTTTGGGGGATTTTGCCCATTATTCTTTTTCAAAAGGCTTCTAGTTCAGTGAGATTCTTTGATTGCCTTGCATGCACTGCTCTTTTGAGGTCCATCCATACATTTTCAATGATGTTGAGGTAGGAGACCTTGAGGGCTATGGTGAAACCTTCAAACTCGCACCTCTTGAAGTAGTCAGTTGTGGATTTTGAGGTGTGTTTAGGATCTTATTCTGTTGTAGAAGCCATCCTCTTTTCATCTTCAGCTTTTTTACAGATGTTGTGATGTTGGCTTCAAAAATTTTCTGAAATTCAATTGAATCCATTCTTTCTTCGACCAGTGACATGTTCCTTGTGCCACTGGCTGCAACACAAGCCCAAAGCAGGATCGATCCAATCATGTGCTTGACAGTTAGAGAGGTGTTCTTTTCATGAAATTCTGCATCCTTTTTTCTCTAAACATACCTCTGCTCATTGCAGCCAAAGACATCAATTTTAACTTCATCAGTTCGCAGGACTTGTTTCCTAAATGCATCAGTCTTGTTCAGATGTTCCTTAGCTACCTTCTGATGTTGAATTTCATGGTGAGGATGCAGGAAAGGTTTCCTTCTCATGACTCTTCCACAAAGGTCATATTTGAGCAAGTGTCGCTGAACTGTAGGGCAGTGCACCATGACTCCACGCTGTGCTAAATCTTGCTGAAGGTCTTTTGTTGTCAAACGGGTGTTTTGATTTACCTTTCTAGCAATCCAATGAGCAGTTTTCTTAGGAAGTTTTCTTGGTCTTCCAGACCTCAAGTTGACCTCCACGGTTTCTGTTGACTGCCATTTCTTAATTATATTATGAACTGAGGAAATCGCAACCTAAAAACATTTTGCTATCTTCTTATAGCCTTCTCCTGCTTTGTGGGCATTAATTATTTTAATTTTCAGAGAGCTAGACAGCTGCTTAGAGGACCCTATGGCCTCTGATTATTGGGCCAAGGTTAGAGGAGTCTGGGTATTTATAAGCTTCAAAATTTGCATCGCCAGGCCTTTCCCAATGATGATTGTGAACAAGCCATAGCCCTGACAAGCTATATACAATCTGAGACTATAGTCAAAGTTACCTGAGAGCTCAAATCTTTTGGGGTGCCCAAACTTTTGCACGGTGCTCATTTCCTTTTTTTTTTGCTCTAGAATTGTACAAAACAAAAGTAATACACCAATACTGCTTAAAATGTCCAAAAAACTGTTGTATCTTTAAATTTATGCCATTCAGAGATCAGTTCATCATCTACTTGCTTAACTATTCTCAGTAACAGAAATTTTAATCAGGGGTGCCCAAACTTTTGCATACAACTGTATGTATATTTTGTGGACCTAGCCGTGAGGAGAACTCCAGATCATCGAATTTGAGGTAAATCTTAATTTATCAGTCAATAATTATCCGCTAAATTTCCATTTTTCTGAGTAAACACTGTCACACAAGCATACATGAAAAACACAAACTTGGCACTTTGAAGTAGTGCATTCATATACTCGAGATATAACTACATGAAGCACCATCTTTGTGATTATTCACCTGGTCTGCAAATCCATTCAGGATGGAGAGATGCTTTGCTGGATACGAGGCGAAGATGCCGGCTGTGCCATTGCTGCCGGTCACTTGTAGATCTCCTCCAGTATAGTGCATGAAGGCATCTAAAGAGACAAGATTTATGACTTAATCACAGTGCACTTACGGCCTTTCATATTGTTCTGCAATGGGGAAATGGACATCATTTTCCCCCTAAGATCAGAATTTCTTATATTATCTCGCAATCTAACATTCAATCAGTCGCGAGATGACCATTCAGCACATTGCCTTAGGCTAACACAAAACAGTCATTAAGTCTGAAATGTCTTATCCATCCAAACCCAGCCATTTAATGGGGTCTGACGACCTCATCCCATCGTCATTCTCCTGATCGCCGCTCCTGTGGTCCATTTCATGGAGACCTCATCCATACACTTAGAGCTGTTTGCTTTTCATGATGGGGCAGCACGGCTCAGGAGGTAGAGCGGTTGGTCTAAGAATCAGACGGTTCCTGGTTCGATCCCCGGCTTCTCCAGAGAACGTGTCGAAGTGTCCTTGAGCGAGACACTGAACCCCACACAGCTCCTCATGTGCAGGGTGGCACCTTGCATGGCAGCCTCCGCCATCAGGATGAATGAGAGGCATAATTGTAAAGTGCTTTGTGGTCATGTCATGTGACTAGAGAGCGCTATATAAATGCAGTCCATTTACCATTTACCATTTCACTCAGCCCACAGACAAAGAAAGGATAACTGCAGCTTTTGATGGTATTGTGATGTTCCCACCTCAGCGATTTTGCCAAAGAGCAGGATGAGGGCTGACTCAATCTACTGTTGCCGGCCATTACTAAAGTAACAAGTGGTGCCAGGCATAACAAACCCCGCCCCTCACACATACTTTCACCTACTTGTACGAAATTCAATAGGGATCTATTCTGGGTCAGTGGCAATCCCTATACCGAATTTAGGGTGAATCTGGCCAATAGTGTTAACAAACAAACACAGAAACAAACAAATGCACAAACACACAAACAAACCGAACCAAAAACAATACCCCTTCCCTCACCCTTCGGGTGGAGCGGGGTAATTAAAGCTCAACAATTGTGCCCAATGGGCGACATGTTTAAGGTTCATGACAGTGGCAGAGGCAGGAATTGTGTTTCGGGTGGGTCTAAATAAATTTGGATGTGCCAATTTTACCCAGCCTTACCTCAAGCATTAGAGTGAAAAATAAAATGGTTTCCTTTCGTGTACAAAGAAAACTTTTAACCGTTTTCAATCATTTTCCTTAATTAACAAATTTTTCAATTATTAGAATAATCTTATGCAGTTATATGCAGAGCTTCTGTTTTATTGCAAAGTTAATGATAAAATATTGAATGAAAATCATAAAAGGGTTCTATGCTTTGTGAAAAAGATAAAGGATCTTACATGAGTGGGCGTGTCATATGAAAGTTATGAAACAAGTTGAGAAAAATTTTGCGTTCGTTTCGAGCTTTCATATGACCAACCAAGAGTATAAGATTCTATTTATCATATAGCTGAATCACGTAATTTAATGGAAGACAAACTAAATTTCCATTAGCGCCGTAATGGTAGCTCATTTGCATTATGCTAGCACTGAGCTAACGCCATCACTCCGATACTACGTAAATCACCGAGTCACAGATATTTGCAGTTGAACTAGCTATGGTTTTTCAATTCACAGTCAACTGAGGGGCTAGCTAGCTAACAAAATAAGGTTACATAATGGTTATGAAACGATACTCCGTAAAATCTCACTAGCTAGCTCAGCGACGATAGCTTAGTTAGGAGCATGGTACTTAGCTGGCTCACTACAGCACTAACCCATACTAATTTAAGCAACACTAACACTTGGTATTCAGTTTGGCAACACATAACGAGCCTGACGTCATGCGGAGCAATTTTTTTCCCCCCACACTCTCAGCCAATGAAATTTTCGCAAAAGTGATATTACCCTAGGGTAATATCAAAAATATGTCATGAGCTGGACAATGGGAAAAGCACCACAGTTATGTAATAAACTACTCTGTTAACTTTCGGAGTTGCTTCTTGTGCATCCTGCAATATAGGCTGTCTAACCTGAAGTTCATGGTTGCTGTAACTACGGAGAAAACAACTGGCAACATGATTCAGAAATTTTGAATGACGTTTATTGAAATGTGAACAATTCTGCATCCAAATTAAGAGTTTTATTCTCATTATATTCAATTTTGAGGAGATCTGGCCACGATTGATTGTGCACAGTGTTGTCGGAGTTCATGTGATGTCAATGATTGAAAAAAAATGATTGAAAAGAGGTTAAGAAAAGGGATGCCTTGTGCTGCCTCTTATTTTGGCTCAGCAGCTGCCGGAATGGGAACCATTTACATTCTATATAGTCTACTTCCAACTCAATTTGAATGTTTCAGTTATCCCGAACACAAATTAAATGAGGAAATATGCAAAATACATTGCGTGTTTATTATGTATCATATTAATTAATAAATAATCAATTTTTTAAAATGAAAAGTATTTTCATGGGTGGGCCAGTGCACGATGTGGGTGGGCCCGTGATACCTGAGCCTGACCACTTGTCTAGACCGCAAGCGCCATGTCAGCATCGCGCTCGCGACGACGACAGTGTTCACGCGACACAGAAGCGACTGTCTATACCGGTTCCGTCTTGCCCGCATATGATTCGAAGCGTAGAGCAGCAAAGGAGCAGCCAAACCTTCTGTGCAGCATGCATCTCCTCGCGTTTACGCGCGTATTTATCAGAAAAATAGACTCGAAGCGTAAATAAAAGCTTTGGGTCGCCTTTACGCCCCTGAGATGCAGCTGAGATGCGAGCCGCACGGAGCCGGTGCAGACAGCTGCGTAGATTAAAACGAGAGCGTATCTGCTGCGTCAGACGTGCGAGTGAAAAAACGCGTCTAAAACGCTTGCTGTCTAGACAAGGGGTAAGACTGGCTACGCCCCTGGTTCACGATGATGATAATGAATGTAAAGATGAGCATTGCTACACCACAACATTAATGATAGTACTGATGAGGGCGATAATGGTACTGGTGAAGATACTGATGGCAATGACAAGTTAAAGAATGCGTAGAAGATGACTGCATCATAGCCAGTACTCACCATAGTACAACCCGAAGACGACTGCAGCTCCAGCAAAGGCACCAAGGAACTGGGCCAGCACATAAACAGGGAACTTAGCAACCTTCAGCCTGCCCAATATAACCATGGCCAGGGAGACAGCAGGATTCACATGGCCTCCTGGAGGAGATAGTGACAAGCACAGATTAACAAGGAGTCATTGCACTAAACTGTGATTTCAACTGTGTTTATACATTATGTGGGCCTGTAGGAAGGTCTATAATTTATAATTAAGCACCCATTCCATAATATTCCCATTAATCATGATACCATGGGAATGTCTGCAAATTAAAGCCCATTATCAGCATTGGCAAGAGCCCAGCCTGATGAAATGATGTAATTTCATTCTCAAACCACACCCATGCAAAGAGAATGTAGTGTGTAATGGGTATGAGAGCACTGTGTTGAACTCATACTCTCAGGAGATGAATAGATTAAGTCACCATCACCGTAGCTAATAGCACTGTTAGATATTATGTAAACAGCCTCAATATATTCCTAATACGAAACAATATTAACAAGGACAGTTGACTCAGCTCATTTAAATTACCATTAATTGACTGTTATTTACACAATATGTTTACTAAGGGAGCTTGTCAATATTCTGAACAGAGAACGCGTTCATTTTTTAACGGACGCCTATTCATTTTTGGATGCGTTTGAGGCTGCAAACCTGGTCACTGCGTTCGATGATGAACACCCTTCCGTTCATTTTCTGATGCGTTCATTTCCCGATGTGTTCATTCTCCGATGCCTGCCCAAGGCCTGACGCGTTCATCTATGTGTGAAGTGAGCTTTTAGATTATGGGCGCGGATGTTCTTTTGTGAACTACGACTGAATATGGATAAACGCTTCTACAGGCCTATTTTAAATTCTCAGTTCCTTAAAGTGAAATAGTTCTCATTGTCATTGTTAGTTTTTTTTTTTTTTTTCTCTAAGTTGCAAGACGGGGCCTCCATGGATAGGACTCGTTTGTCAAGCGCATCCCACAGATGCTCGATTGGATTGAGATCTGGGGAATTTGGAGGCCAAGTCAACACCTTGAACTCAGTGTTGTGTTCCTCAAATCATTCCTGAACCATTTTTGCTGTTTGGCAGGGTGCATTATCCTGCTGAAAGGGCCACTGCCATTAGGGAATACCGTTTCATGAAAGGGCATACTTGGTCTGCAACAGTGTTCACGTAGGTGCTATGTGTCAAAGTAACATACACATGAATGGCAGGACTCAGTTTCCCAGCAGAACATTGCCCAAAGCATCGCACTGCCTCCGCTGGCTTGCCTTCTCCCCATAGTGCAACATGATGCCATCTCTTCCCCAGAAAAGCAACCCACACGCACTCGGCCTCGACCAGGCCACCTCCTTCGATTGCCCCTCGGTCCAGCTCCGTGCCCATTGTAGAGGCTATCGGTGGTGGACAGGGCTCAGCATCGGCACCCTGACCGGTCTGCAGGTATGCAGCCCCATACGAAACAAACTCTCCTGCGATCTGGAAAGACCTAGTACTTGTATCACGTTTGGTACAAACTGAGTTTAACCTTCATTTGCAGTAATTAAGAGTGGTGAAAAACACTAGCTTTAGTGTCATTTGAACTTTTAAAATCAAGTTTCTATCATATTTTTTTTTTCTGTTAGGAAAAGTCCAGAACCTAAAATTTTTGTTCAATTGCGAGATCTTTGCCACTGATAAACTTTCTAGGTTTTTCCAGATCACAGGAGAACTGCGATGCTCTGTGCGTTCTGACACCTTTCTATCAGAACCAGCAATAACCTTTCGTGCAATCTGAGCTTACAGTAGCTCTTCTGTTGGAACGGACCACACGGGCCAGCCTTCGCTCTCCACGGGCATCAATGAGCCTTGGCTGCCCATCAACCTGTCGTAGGTGCACTGATTTTCCTTCCTTGGACCACTTTTGGTAGTTATTAACCACTGCAGACAAGGAACACTCCACAAGAGCTGCAGTTTTGGAGGCACACTGACCCAGTCATCCAGCCGTCAAAATATCGCCCTTGTCAAAGTCGCTCACATCCTCACCCTTGTGAATTTTTCCCGCTTCCAAGAAATGAACTTTCGAGGACAAAATATTCACTTGCTGCCCAATATATCACACCCACTGACAGATGCCATTGTAATGAGAACATTTTATTCACTTCACCTGTCTGTGGTCATAGTGTTATGGCTGATAACTGGATATTTAAACATATTTTAGAGAAAATGAGGAATCCACACATTGTGCAGTCAGAGCTTTACTGACATTATCTGTCTAAATAACTTAAAACAATCAATATGCTTCCCAGGAAAGGGAGGATTTGTTATAGAGCATTACATCAAACCATTAGTTTGTCAAAAATCATTGAATTATCCACATAAATGTAT